GGATTATTGACATATATTTCCTTACCAGATAACCAAATCAAACTGAAGGTAGTACCAAACACCACAGCTGTTATAGCNCACTTTATTATAGTCTTACAGATTAACCCATGTCGTAAAACTTTCAGCTAAGTGTCCCTCTTGCTGACATTTGTATTGTCATAATTTCTGATATAATGTGTTTTGTTTAGATGTGAAATGTTAAAGTTGCCTTACTTTCCATTTATTTGGTGTTAAGAGTGTCAGACTAGAACATCTGTTTCATTGCAGATTTAATCCCCAGCACATCCTTTCTGTTATATCCTCAGTCATACTACAAATTAGGCTAATTTAGTGTCGAACACAGTATCTTACTAGGTTCATCAGCAGGATATTTCTTATTTTGAATTACTGTCCTTTATTCCTTTATTTTATCACAGAATAAACAATTATTTAAAAGTTTATACCAGAACATATACTTCTTTCTTACTGATCCTGGTTGCTTAAAACTCCACTGTGCTTCTTGTTGACCAAGAATTGTTCCAAGGAAGATTAATCTCCCTATATAATCCAGCCACCCAACATTCAAAGAATGTTCCATTTTTAAATCTTTATGTTTGCCAAAGTTTATTGCATTTACATTGAACCCTTTTATACTTTCCATATCCGTAAGGTAAACACTTGGGGGATTTCTATCGCTAGTAACCATATGCTTAATCACATTTCTTTTGAAAACAAATTAAACACAGATGATTGGGCTATTGTAGAAATCTTAGCTACTGGTATATTCTATTTTTTATCTTTACGAGATTGTCATTGCCTTGCATGCTTTGTGTCACTCAACCTATTGTGTATGGGTGTAGCACACTTCAGCAGGAAAATGTTCAAGTAGATCCAACTGTTACAAACACAGTCACCGATAAGCTTTGGTAGATTTTAAGAATTCTAATGTTGTGGAATAAAATAATATAAGATCTACTTTCATTGCAAAAAGAAGTCTTAAATTTAAGGGCGTTTGTAACACTCTGTAATTAATGTGACATTTAAGTTTGTATGTTACACCTTGTAGTTACTGTGACAGTTAAGTTTGTATATGTTACACACTGTAATTACTGTGACATTTAAGGTGTATGTTACACACTGTAATTACTGTGACATTTAAGGTGTATGTTACACACTGTAATTACTGTGTTATTTGAGTTTGTATATGTTACACACTGTAATTACTGTGATATTAAAGGGTGTTTGTTACACCATGTAATTACTGTGACATTTAAGGTGTATGTTACACACTGTAATTACTGTGACATTTAAGGTGTATGTTACACACTGTAATTACTGTGACATTTAAGGTGTATGTTACCCACTGTGATTACTGTGACATTTAAGTTTGTATATGTTACACCCTGTAATTACTGTGACATTTAAGGTGTATGTTACACACTGTAGTTACTGTGACATTTAAGGGGTTGTTTGTTACACCCTGTAAATACTGTGACATTTAGGGCGCATGTTACACCCTGTAATTACTGTGACATTTTAGGGTGTTAGTTACATTTTTTAGTTACTGTGACATTTAAGGGTGTTTGTTACACCCTACAATTACCGTGGCATTAAGGGTGTATGTTACACCCTGTAGTTTCTGTGACATTTAAGGTTGTTTGTTACACCCTGTAGTTACTGTGACATTATAGGATGTATGTTACACCCTGTAGTAATGTGACATTTAAGGGTGTTTGTTACATCCTAAAAATTACTGTGACATTAAAGGGTATGTGTTATACCCTGTAATTACTATGACATTAAAGGGTAAAAACACCTTGTAATTACTGTGACATTTAAGGGTGTTTGTTACTCCCTGTAGTTATTATGACATTTAAGGGTTTTTGAATTATTACAACCTATAATGACTGCAACATTTAAGGGTGTTTGTTACACTTTGTAATTACTGTGACATTTAAGATTGTTTGTTATACCCTTCAGTTACCGTGACATTAAATGGTGTTTGTTACACACTGTAGTTACTGTGACATTATAGGATGTATGTTAAACCCTGGAATTATTGTGACATTTTAGGGTGTTTGTTACACCCTGTAATTACTGTGACATTTTAGGGTGTTAGTTACATTTTGTAGTTACTGTGAGATTTAAGGGTGTTTGTTACACCCTGTAATTACTGTGACATTTCAGGGTGTTTGTTACACCCTTTAATTACTGTGACATTTTAGGGTGTTAGTTACATTTTGTAGTTACTGTGAGATTTAATGTTGTATGCTACACCCTGTAATTACTGTGACACTTAAGGGTGTTTGTTATACCCTTTAATTACTGTGACATGTAAGGGTGTTTGTTACTCCTTGTAAATACTGTGACATTTAGGGTGTATGTTACACACTGTAATTACTGTGAAATTTAAGGTGTATGTTACACACTGTAATTACTGTGATATTAAAGGGTGTTTGTGTTTGTTACACCCTGTAATTACTGTGACATTTCAGGGTGTTTGTTACACCCTTTAATTACTGTGACATTTTAGGGTGTTAGTTACATTTTGTAGTTACTGTGAGATTTAAGGGTGTTTGTTACACCCTGTAATTACTGTAACATTTATGGGTGTTTGTTAGACTCCTGTAATTACTGTGTCTTTTAAGGGTGTTTGGTACATGCTGTAATTACTGTGACATTTAAGGGTGTTACATCCTGTAGTTACTGTGACATTTAAGAGTGTAATTACTCTGACATAGGATTATGTTACTTCCTGTAATTACTATGACTTTTATGGATGGATGTTACACCCTGCTGTTACTGTATCATTTAGGTTTTTTTCTTACACCCTGTTATTACAGTGACATTAAGGTTGTTTGTTTCACCCTGTAATTATTTTGACATTTTAGGGTGTTTGTTACACCGTGTGACTACTGTGACATTTAATGTTGTATGCTACATCCTGTAATTACTTTGACATTTAAGGGTGGTTGTTATCCGCTGTTATTTATTTAACATTTAAAGGTGTTTATTACACCCTGTAAATACTGTGACATTTAAGGGTGTTTGTTACATCCTAAAAAATACTGTGACATCAAAGGGTATATGTTACACCCTAAACATTACTGTGACATTAAAGGGTGAAAACACCTTGTAATTACTGTGACAGTGAAGGGTGTTTGTTACTCCCTGTAGTTATTATGACATTTAAGGATTTTTGAATTGTTACAACCTATAATTACTGCAACATTTTAGGGTGTTTGTTACACTTTGTAATTACTTCGACATTTAAGATTGTTTGTTACACCCTGTAATGACTGTGACATTTAATGGTGTATGTAACACCCTAAAATTACTATGACATTAAGGGTGTATGTAACACCCTGTTATTATTGTGACATTTTAGGGTGTTTGTTACACCCTGTAACTACTGTGACATTTAAGGGTGTTTGTTACACTTTGTAATTACTGTGACATTTATTATTGTACACCCTGTTATTATTGTGACATTTTAGGGTGTTTGTTACACCCTGTAGTAACTGACTGTGACATTTAAGATACATTTGTAGTTTGTTACACCTTGAATTACTGTGACATTTAAGGGTGTTATGCCCTGTTGTTAATGTGACATTTAAGGTGTATGTTAAACCCTGTAACTACTGTGACATTTTAGGGTGTATGTTACACCCTGTAGCTACTGTGACATTAAAGGGTGTTTGTTACACCCTGTAATTACTGTGACATTAAAGGGTGTTTGTTACACCCTGTAGTTACTCTGACATTGAAGGTTGTTTGTTACACTCTGTAGTTACAGTGACATTTAAGGGTGTGGTTACACCCTGTAATTACTGTGTCATTTAAGGGTGTTTAATACACCCTGTTATTTCTGCGACATTTAAGGGTACGGTCACACCCTGTAATTACTGTGACATTTAAAGTTGTTTGTTACACCCTGTAATTACTGTGACATTTAATTGTGTTTGTGATATGTTTGTAAAAGATGTAAGGTAAGGTAGCATACATCCCTAATTCTAACACAATTCAGAGGTAGAATGTGTAAGGTAGAACACATCTTTTACACAAACACAAGTTATTTATTTGAAAAAGTTAAAATGATTGAAAAACTTTCCAATACACTTTGTTATAAAAAAAACCCAGGAATAATAGACAAATTTGTGAAATAAATCTGAAAATTATCATTAGAGGATAAAGGACTGTCAAAATGAGAAAGAATAGTGGTTGATCTTTATAACAACTGATAACCCCCATTCTGATGAAAGACTGAATTAACTTTAAAAATCAAATCATGAACATAACTCCTGTTTTTCCTAAAGGGGCCTAAAGCATTATCTATAATTTACTGGAGTTACAAAAGATGCGTACTAGATGTACAAATCTTTGTAAGATTATACATATAATTTAATGCTATTATTACCTGTTTGTACATGCTTGTAGGCCAGACTACCAGGGAAGACAAGTTTTACTATTTAAAGGGTAGTTTAATGTAGTTTAATGTGACTTTTTTCATTGGTCTGTTGTGTTTTATTTTTTCCAGAGTGAACAAGGGGGGATTGACTTTCGTACATACGAGAATCTTACCAGTCTCACAGCACCCTTCGGGACCACAAACACCCCAGTGATTGGAACGAAAATTATAGGAGGTGTACAGGTCCCTGTCATTGAACACCTTTCTTCCAGTCAGTAAGTATACAGGTTTATATGATGAAGGCTCAGTGGTTAGTATGTGTGATTGCTGTAGACAGGCTCAGAAGGTCTCGTGTTACAGAACTGTCCTGGATAACAAAGTGATGTAAGAAATTTTCTATCCTAATACACCCAATTTCAGGTGCTTGATGTCACATTAATGGGACAACAATGGCATGACCTTACCCAATCGGTAACATTCTAATGGTGCAATGCAGGAATTGTGACGTATTTATGCAATTTCTGACCAAATTATGGTGAATATTGGAGTGGGAGGGAAATACTTTTACATGTCCATGGATAAAGGATAGGCAAACTCTACCCTCTGGGTGCAAAACTCTTTGCATGCATAAACCTCAGGTTTTACCCAATTTGAAAACCCCTTTGTGGAATTCCCCTATCCTACACCCCTGGGCATGACATCAGTGGCCAGTGATATATTGATTGTACTGCCATATATTGTAGCTCGTTGTAGTATGGTAATAGGAAGGCTATGCTGAAAGGAACCGCAGTTCATTTCACCATTATGATCATATGAACCCACCCTATGGTGAAATGAAGGCTACCATCAATTCTTTTCTGACCAAATTTTTTCATTAATTTTGTTTTAGTTAACTTCACTGTGTTGTGCTATATATCTGAATCACAAAAATTAAGTCTGAGGTAGAGAAATTTGGGGTGGGGCCGGGGGGCTTCATTTCACTATGGGGCGGTTCATATTACCATAATGGTAAAATGAACCACAGTTCATATGACCATAATGCTTCACAATACCATGCTACACCTCCGGAATGTATACAATATAGGCAGGTGATTTCAGTTATAATTTCTCCGTATTAACTCCAAGTTTGTTGCTGCAGTGGGATGGAAAATTTCATAGATTAATTAAAAAAAAGAATAGATAGATTTGAATGAAATTACATGCACAGTGTCTGTTATAGTATGAATATGAATTCAAACGTAGCTATAGTGTATAACTTTACTTCCTTTACAAACATTGCATTATGGTTTATCAGGTTGTGACAGGAACATGGTTATCATTAATGAAGTAACTGCAGAAGTTAAATTTGTAAATAATTTATGATTCATCTGCTTATCTTAAATATGTATAGCAATGCGCAACTCAGACTTCAATACACCATATAGACCTTTTAGGATCCTCATTTTCAAAACATACAGTCAGTAATCATGTGTTACAGGGAAAATGGCAGTTTTGGAATCGGCATCACAAAGCTGACTGACATAGCAGACAAGCCAAACAATGTCAACCCAGACCTTCTGAGACGGGGTGCCCGTACCTACTTCAGCGCTCAGCAGGTGTGTATGGCCAGACAGCTAGCTACCCCAATATCCATTAACTTACTAAATTCAATGGAAACAGCTTCCTTGAGAGACCACCCTAATTGGAGACAGACTTTTTCATATCCAAAGTTATCTGTAGATAAAAAAAACACATATCATTAGGACAAGTTCTTTAATCATTAGAAAGGATTCTCACAGTTTCTGCTATATTTGATATGGGCAGAATTATTGATGGATGTTTCTTAACCATAAATATAATTTCTAGTTCAGTTATAATAACCATGAACCTAATCCTCTCTATAAAACTACTTCAACTCTCTGAAACTAGAAAGCTGGAATAGAAACTAGGAAGTTGGATAAATGGGGTTTCATTTACAGTTAAGACAGCAAAATTAGAAGAAAAAAGAAAGATAAAATGCACAGTAAATATAACTTCTTGATACTTAGATGTAATGCAATTTGCTAACCATGATGCAAGATATAACTGCAGTTGTCTGTCTTGATACAAGATATGACTTCAGTTGTCTGCCTTGATACAAGATGTCTATAGCTGCAGTTGTCTTTACCTTGATACAAGATTTAACTGCAGTTGTCTGTCTTGATAAAAAATGCCGAGTTGTCTGTCTTGTTACAAGATATAACTGCAGTTGTCTGTCTTGTTACAAGATATAACTGTAGTTGTCTGTCTTGTTACAAGATATAACTGCAGTTGTCTGTTTTGGTACAAGATATAACTGCAGTTGTCTGTCTTGTTACAAGATATAACTAGTTTTCTGTCTTGATACAAGATGTCTATAGCTGCAGTTGTCTTTACCTTGTTACAAGATACAACTGCAGTTGTCTGTCTTGTTACAAGAAATAACTACAGTTGTCTGTCTTGATACAAGATATAACTGTAGTCGTCTGCCTTGATACAAGATATAACTACAGTTGTCTGTCTTGATACAAGATGTCTATAGCTGCAGTTGTCTTTACCTTGATACACGATTTAACTGCAGTTGTCTGTCTTGTTACGAGATATAACTACAGTTGTCTGTCTTTATACAAGATATAACTGTAGTCGTCTGCCTAGATACAAGATGTCTATAGCTGCAGTTGTCTTTACCTTGATACAAGATATAACTGTAGTTGTCTGCCTTGTTACAAGATATAACTGCAGTTGTCTGTCTTGTTACCAGATATAACTGCAGTTGTCTGTCTTGTTACGAGATATAACTACAGTTGTCTGTCTTGTTACAAGATATAACTACAGTTGTCTGTCTTGTTACAGGATATAACTACAGTTGTCTGTCTTGTTACAAGATATAACTGTAGTTGTCTGTCTTGTTACAAGATATAACTGCAGTTGTCTGTATTGTTACAAGATATAACTACAGTTGTCTGTATTGTTACAAGATATAACTAGTTTTCTGTCTTGATACAAGCTGTCTATAGCTACAGTTGTCTTTACCTTGTTACAAGATACAACTGCAGTTGTCTGTCTTGTTACGAGATATAACCACAGTTGTCTGTCTTGATACAAGATATAACTGTAGTCGTCTGCCTTGATACAAGATATAACTGTAGTTGTCTGTCTTGTTACAAGATATAACTACAGTTGTCTGTCTTGATACAAGATATAACTTCAATTGTCTGCCTTGATACAAGATGTCTATAGCTGCAGTTGTCTTTACCTTGTTACAAGATATAACTGCAGTTGTCTTTCTTGTTACGAGATATAACTACAGTTGTCTGTCTTGATACAAGATATAACTGTAGTCGGCTGCCTTGATACAAGATATAACTACAGTTGTCTGTCTTGTTACAAGATAAAACTATAGTTGTCTGTCTTGATACAAGATATAAGTGAAGTCATCTGCCTTGATACAAGATATAACTACAGTTGTCTGTCTTGTTACAAGATATAACTGCAGTCGTCTGCCTTGACCCAACATATAACTACAGTTGTCTGTCTTTATACAAGATATAACTGCAGGTGTCTGTCTTGTTACAAGATATAACTTCAATTGTCTGACTTGATTCAAGATGTCTATAGCTGCAGTTGTCTTTACCTTGTTACAAGATATAATAACTGCAGTTGTCTGTCTTGAAACAAGATATAACTGCAGGTGTCTGTCTTGTTACAAGATATAACTTCAATTGTCTGACTTGATTCAAGATGTCTATAGCTGCAGTTGTCTTTACCTTGATACAAGATTTAACTGAAGTTGTCTGTCTTGTTACAGGATATAACTACAGTTGTCTGTCTTGATACAAGATATAACTGTAGTCGTCTGCCTTGACCCAAGATATAACTACAGTTGTCTGTCTTGTTACAAGATATAACTGCAGTTGTCTGTCTTGTTACAAGATATAATAACTGCAGTTGTCTGTCTTGTTACAGGATATAACTGCAGTTGTCTGTCTTGATACAAGATATAACTACAGTTGTCTGTCTTGTTACAAGATATAACTTCAATTGTCTGCCTTGATACAAGATGTCTCTAGCTGCAGTTGTCTTTACCTTGATACAAGATATAACTACAGTTGTCTGTCTTGATAAAAGATGCCAATTTGTCTGTCTTGTTACAAGATATAACTACAGTCGTCTGCCTTGATACAAGATATAACTACAGTTGTCTGTCTTGAGACAAGATATAACTACAGTTGTCTGCCTTGCTACAAGATATAACTACAGTCGTCTGCCTTGATACAAGATATACAATGTAACTACAGTTGTCTGCCTTGATACAAGATGTAGAAACAGTTGTCTGCCTTGAAACAAGATGTATCTGCAGTTGTCAACCTTGAAACAAGATGTAACTGCAGTTGTCTCAATTGATACGAGATGTAACAGCAGTTGTCTCCCTTGATACAAGATGTAACTGCAGTTAGTTGTCTGCCTTGATACAAGATATACAATGTAACTACAGTTGTCTGCATTGATACAAGATATACAATGTAACTACAGTTGTCTGCCTTGATACAAGATATAAGTGCAGTTTGATGACTAAATTTATCACAATTCATTATGCACCTGAAGTACTCTTTCATTTAAAACCAGCTGGGTTACTTATATGAGGATGTCCTGTAGTAATTTGTACACCAATCATTGGTAACAGCACAGCCATCTTCTGTAACCTGTCATGTAAAATTTTGTAATATCATAACAGTGCAGGCAAATTCATGTTCATATGTAATAATGTTGCTTCAATTAAAAAAGCTTTGTTCATTGGCAATAAATAATCAAGATAACCAACATTCCATTATCTTTACATGATAATTGCCTTTTTTATATATTTGTAAATTAGAACTAAGGAGTTCATCTAAAATCTGTTTACTTTTTCTTAAGTAATTTTCTAATTCAACTGCAGTTAGAACACAGGTTTCATATCAGCAAAACATTTGTCATCTTTTTAAACATTTTGATAATGATAATGATATAAACACAGCTTTCTAGTGCTGTATTAGAACTTTTATGTCAAGTTATTAAAAACTGTTTTTTGCATGTAAGATGATGCGTCTGATAACAATAATATGATATTATTTGATTACTTGGTGAAGTTTTTTTCTAAATATTCTTAATCTGACATTTTTTTTCTCTCTAAAACATCAAAATATTTAACAAAAAGTTTATTGTATCATGTTTGCTGGATCTCATTTTAAGGAAAGTACATTTGTCCTTGAAAATATCGGCACATAAAACCTTGGTTCAAGTCTGCATGACATCACACTGGTCGTTCAAATTCTGATTAGCTTTTAATAGAAATGAGAATTTTATTAGATATATACATGTCTTGAAATTTGCACTATAATTGGTACTTTTGTTTTCTTCTCTTTGCATGATGTTGTTTTGAAACAAATATCTACTATATCATTTTTGGCTTCAAACCTTTTTGATAATAATAAATATATGAAAGACTTTGTAATACTTTGTCATTCAGCTTATCAGACTCATAACCACTGGTATTATAGAGGACACTTTGCTTATGTTAAATCCTTTATATATCCACAGCCTAAGGATGACTTTGAGCAGGTAGGCTGTTGGCTGATTGGCCAGTTATGAGACAATCACCTTCATGTAGACTCCTTTCCATCTAACCTTTTCACTGTATATCATATTTAATTAGTTTGTATAATTTATAAAAAAGGACAAAATAAAATGTATAAAATTCAATTTTATTTGTTGACATAGCCATTTTAGCTCAAAAACAAAATAAACAGCTAACACAGTAACAGTATATAAATGGGCATCATCCTCTTCATAGCTCTTGTCAAAATGAAGTAACTAGTGAGAAATTGAATTATTGAAGCATAATTTTTGTTCAAAATTTCAGACGTAATTTTTATGGTAGAAGTATTTGATATTAACCACAGTGAAAGGGTTTTTGGTTTGATGTTTTTGCCTTTCTGTCCCTATATACTGGTTCCCTTGTCTCAGTATTCCTTATTAAACCTGACTCCCATTTCCACGTATTTGCATACCATCATTCGACTGAAGGCACTATAATTCAAATCATTGTAATTTGTTTCATTTGAAATTCTGTGTTTTATTTTAATGATGAAATTTGGAATTGGCCAGGCTGTGAGTGAATCATTGATTCTGATTGCATGTAGGAATTTTGAAATGTGTGGTTTTAATACAACATTGATAGGTGTAATGTCAGCCATTGTTGAATAAACTTTAGGATGGTTTTAATGCATTGCTGTTGCTTGTGTGGAAAATTTTGTCCAGTCCTTTATATTTTATAGATGTCCATTTTGTTGCTTGTGCTTTAATCTTTGGTGTACCGATATATTGAGTCCGAGATTTCTTAAACTTCTTGCACATATTTGCCAAGTCACCCTAGCTATATTGAAGGCAGACTGATTTTGCACTCCCAATTTTACTTCTTTTTTTTCAGCAAAATTCCTCCAACATTTTGCTCTTGCTAAAATCACTTATTTTATCTTGTAAAACAGCCTTAATGATGACATTTTACACATGTGTTTTAAGAATAAATATTTCTCTTTCTAATTTCTCCAAAATATTTTACCTTAAAAAAATTAACAGTTTTGTACTTCTAATATCATACATTAACATTAAAAACTTATTTTGATTTTTTAATGAGTCTCGGGGCACAGCATTAGCTCTCAGTCAATTTAAAATATTTTTGACATTGTGATAAACTCATTCACCCCTGTAATTTCATAATGAACAATTCCAACCTTTGAATTGGAAGAATTCAAATATGTCTGCAGGGGTGAATGAGTTAATACTTAGAACATTTGTGATGGGATTTTCTCTGTTAAATAATAACCTCTAGCAATATCTTTCCATTCAATATTTGTTTAAATCAATATGAAAATTTTGCTTCAAGAAAATTGTTAATTTTTGTTCACTGAAACAAAAGCAGTAAATTGAAGATTGAAGCACTTTGCTCACTTGTTATCTGTTTGGTTGATCATTTTATTATTTTAAGTTATTAACCACGGATAATAATTTATGAACCACTTTGAGACGACCTACGGACTAGATTGTGATAAAGCGGTATATAAGAACCTCAAATTATTATTATCGGGTGGTCGAGTGGTGCAGTGGATAGCGCACTTGCCTTTCACCAAGGCAGCCGGGGTTCGATTCTCTGATCGGATGTGAAAAGGTATGGGGTCACCTGCCAGACCACGTGGGTTTTCTCCAGGTAATCCGGTTTCCTCCCACATTTAGATCCTCCGCATGCTAACATCTGGGCCAAGAGTGATTGATATAAGTTGACATAACTTTTTTCATAATTGTGGTAAAATAAACAAAGTTTATATTTATTATTAGTAGTATTATCATATAAAGAAACATTGCATACGTGTGCTTTATTTGAGGCCTCAACTTTTATTATTTGCTTGGTTAAAAAAAAATGTTACTAATAATATTTTTTAACAATGTTTTGAAATAATAATTATCATCATTACCTTTTCTGTATCATATCAATCCAAGTGTTATATTAAAACATTATTTAATAGGATAAAGGTTAGTGGAAAAAACTGAAAGAGGCCTGATTATAGGATGTATTCAAGTCAGGAAATGTGTGGAAAACAGAAGTGTTTCAAAACAGCTAAAGATAAATATGATAAACTCAAATAGAGGGGGACAATTCCAGATCACATGAGGCAGACATGTAGTCAGGTCAATATTGTAAATGTACTTAAACTCAATTAGTGGACTCACATTCCCTTGTATTGAGTTATATTGTGATATAACACCCTACTTATCATAATGTAGTAAGTGATTTAACTTCACATTTTTGAATTCAGCTCAAAAAAGCTTAAGGTCATAGGAGTGTATTGCTAAACGGAAATAGGAAGTACATCCCTAGTTGAAAATCCAATGTAGGGAGACAGTATCACAATTTCCGCATATTCTAATGTTTAATATTAAACTGATGAATGTTGTATGTTTATTATTGGCAGAACAGTGTGTTATTTTAATATTTAAGTATTTCAAAGCAATCCAGGCATCAATTCAGTTGTTTTTTAATCAATGAGTCACATGTGTCCATTTTTCTGTACTTCAGGAAACCGGCTACCTATTTCACTACTGTGAATTTTTTCAAGAACGATAACTCATACATGCAATTACTATGTGTATATGGTTTTATTATAAAATGTCAATTTTTAATAGTTTATAGATAACTAATTTTACACAATTTCAGCATTTATAACATTGACATACATTAATGCAATACTAATCTATGTCAGTATCATTTTTATTGACATTATTTTGTTAAAAATTGTGTTTGATTGTTTTTTCAAAATTCACTCCCTTTTACATAAATTTCCATTTAAAATCCTTAAAATTCTGACAACCTATATTATTTTTGTGGCAGATTTTTTTTTTTTACTTCAAAGCAATATAACTACAATTTGAAGAAATTCTACTGAGAAATGGCGACACAATCCTTAAATATGACTTATTGATGACAGTATAAACTTTTTATGTGAGATATTGTTTTTTTGTTGGTTTTCTTTTAGGATATTTAATGTTAGTGACATTATTTTCAGCAATGACATTAAGTAATTAGCTTTTTGGTAACTGCGAGTTCTAGTTTACATTAAATCAGAAAATTTAAATCTGAATTGAAATACTTCCCATGAAAAATGACAAGTTGCAAAAATGACATGTTTTGTGAAAATACCATCCTGAGCCACGTGGGTGCAACACGTACAGCTATATGATATTTCCTTATGATTTGTAACGATAAAATTTAGTTGAACCAGAATTAATTTACTCAGGAGTTAACTTTATGCAAGAGTTAACTTTACACAGAGTTAACTTTACTCAGCACTTAACTTTATACAGAGTTAACTTTACTCAGAAGTTAACTTTATGCAGAGTTAACTCTACTCAGAAGTTAACTTTACTCAGAAGTTAACTTTACTCTGAAGTTAACTTTACTCAGGAGTTAACTTTATGCAGGAGTTAACTTTACTCAGGAGTTAACTTTATGCAGGAGTTAACTTTATACAGAATTAACTTTATACAGAGTTAACTTTACTCAGAAGTTAACTTATTTACTCAGAAGTTAACTATATACTCAGAAGTTAACTTTACTCAAGAGTTTACTTTACACAGGAGAGTTAACTTTAATCAGGAGTTAACTTTACACAGGAGATAACTTAACTTTAAAAGCAAAGAAAATTCCAGCTTAAAGATTATATGAAAATGTTATCCATTTTGTCAAATTTACAGTTGCATTATGACCTAATGGTGTCTGATATAAAGATCACAATGAACATTCTGTAATTCATCCAAGTGATTTTTCATTCTGTGTCACCTAGAGGTAGTTTAATTTGTATTCTGTGTTTACTACTTTCACTTGAAATACCAAACTTAAATACATTACAACTTGTGATTTATATTGATGGTCCTTGTTTGTAGGACAATTTTCAATCACACCTGCATGGTAAGCCGACCTTTCATGGAAGAAATCGCCCCGATTCAAAGTCTTTGACACGAGGATGGAAGGTAGATGCTCTTCAAACCAATAAAAACAAGAACCAGCTGTCCACTATTTTTGAACCAGAGATGGGAAACCCAAACGCTTTACAATTGGAAACGGAATATGGCGACAAATATATGATGGATGGAAAAGATGAAAGGCCATTAAGTGATCAACACAAAATGAAACCAAACGGACGGATGTATGATTCTGCTGAGTTCCCAAAAGCTCTCAGTGATATAGGTCCACCTCCTGTCTCAAAGGAATACCAAATAAGCCAGCATCCTGCCAAAGATTCGTTTGCAAACTCACATCCATATATTGACCACAGTGAACAGACACCACGGACTGTGCTTAACGAGGAGCGCAATAGACTGTTAAAGTATTTGTGGAGTGCAAACCATGGCACCCTCCCTCAGAGACCTATCGAGCTCTCACTGGTGGAGGAAGAGAAGTTAGGGCACATTGTTAGTGTGGAATTGGATGGTGTACCAAGGAAACGACTTGACAAGGTTCATGCCGATGTCATTTCAGCGGACTGGGCACAAAATGGCACATGTGCTCTGGTGGCCATGAAAAAAGCTCTGGAAGCAAGTCAGGTAAGTTTTTAATATCTATAATGATAATACTGCTCTATACCAGATAGGACAGGAAGGGTTTTGTGTATGTTTTTTATTTTATTTAATGTCCTATTAACAGGTAAGGTCATTTAAGTACATGCCTCCATGCGTGTTCGGTATGCACGCATGTGTTTATGTGTGCTGGAGGTAGGTATGTTGGTGTACTTGCCTCCTTGTGAGAGCACAGATCTGATGCTGACTTTATAGTACTACTTCACTGAAAAACCATGCCAAAGGCACCACGTACAGCACTTCGCCTGATCACATTATACTGACAATGGGTGAACCATTTGTTGCCATTTCCCTAATACTAAATGTAAATGGGACAGAACCCATTGCCTTTCCTCACCTGGGCGAACATTCAAAATGAAAGCCAAAAGTGAGGTATTGCCAAGCAAGGCTCTAGGAATTATAAAAGGTAGTTAGAAGTAGAGAGAATTATTACGATCACAAAAGTTGCAATGGGTGCAGCAGATTTATTTTGGTCACCTTTGTGTCCCCAAGAAGAGGGCACAAAAGCAAATCCCCAATTCTGAAGGGGGTGCTGGGTTGGGACAGGAAGGAGAGGATACTCAATATAGTACAACCATCTTAGAAAATGATCATTTGAATCAAGCCAATCTAATGTTATCTAAATGTGATTGTTGGATCGTAAACAATGGATTCCATATTTAGTTGAAATAATAAGATTTTACTTTTTTTTAACTTTCAGATACGTTTAGACCCAGATACAGTGCGATTGGTGGCAGCTAAGTTTGTTGACCGTAATCAGAATGGATGGATATTTTATCGGGATTTTATTAGATATCTTAAGAAATTTTTGCCTAAAGAACCGTAAGTTTCTTATATTTACCTTTATTTCACATTTGACCATTGATTCCTTAATTGAAACCATAATCTCAGACAAATTTAAGTTTTAGAAATCATCCAATATTGATGTTGTGTATACGTACCAATCAATTAGAGATTGTGTATACGTACCAATTAACTAGAGATTGTGTATACATACCAATTAACTAGAGAATGTATAAACGTACCAATTAACTAGAGATTGTATATACGTACCAATTAACTAGAGATTGTGTATACGTACCAATTAACTAGAGATTGTGTATATGTACCAATTAACTAGAGATTGTGTATACGTACCAACTAACTAGAGTTTGTGTATACATATCAATTAACTAGAGATTGTGTATACGTACCAATTCACTAGAGATTGTGTATATGTACCAATTAACTAGAGATTGTGTATACGTACCAATCAATTAGAGATTGTTTAATAGAGATCAAGCACTCATATACAAATCAACTAGAGATTGTTCAGTTCAAACAGTTACCATAACATATAATGTCTTAGAAAGAAAGCAGTCAGTCGATAACTTAAATCCTAAATTATAATTGTGATCAGTCCTCCACTATAAATAGCTGTAACCATTTACTTTTACAGACAGAGCAATTTTGAACAGCGGTTCCAAAGTCATCCCAGCTCCCCGTAAGTACATATTGTTCTCCCCGTAAAAACATATTGTTCTCCCTGTAAGTACATATTGTTCTCCCCGTAAATACATATTGTTCTCCCCGTAAAGTACACGTTGTTCTCTCTGTAAGTACATATTGTTCTCTCTGTAATTACATATTGTTCTCCCTGTAATTACATATTGTTCTCCCTATAAGTACATATTGTTCTCCCTGTAATTACATATTGTTCTCCCTATAAGTACATATTGTTCTCCCTGTAATTACATGTTGTTCTCCCCGTACGTACATATTGTTCTCCCTATAAGTACATATTGTTCTCCCTGTAATTACATATTGTTCTCCCAGTAAGTACATGTTGTTCTCCCCGTACGTCCATATTGTTCTCCCTATAAGTTCATATTGTTCTCCCTGTAATTACATATTGTTTTCCCTGTAAGTACATATTGTTATCCCTGTAATTACATGTTGTTCTCCCCGTACGTACATGTTGTTCTCCCCGTAATTACATATTGTTCTCCCTGTAATTACATATTGTTCTCCCTGTAAGTACATATTGTTCTCCCTGTAATTACATGTTGTTCTCCCTGTAATTACATATTGTTCTTCCCGTACGTACATGTTGTTCTCCCCGTAATTACATATTGTTCTCCCAGTAAGTACATGTTGTTCTCCCCGTAAGGTCAACGATGTTCTCCCTGTAAATACATATTGTTCTCCCCGTAAGAACATGTTGCTCTCCCCGTTAGTATAAGTTGTTCTCCCTGTAAGTAAATATTGTTGTCCCCGAAAGTACATGTTGTTCTCCCCGTACAGTACAAGTTGTTCTCCCCGTAAAGAACACGTTGTTCTCCCTGTAAATGCATATTGTTCTCCTTGTAATTACATATTGTTTTCCTCGTAAGTACATATTGTTTTCCTCGTAAGAACATGTTGCTCTCCCCGTTAGTATAAGTTGTTCTCCCTGTAAGTACATGTTGTTCTCCCTGTAAGTACTTATTGTTCTCCCCGAAAGTACACGTTGTTCTCCGCGTAAATACATGTTGCTCTCCCCGTAAAGTACACGTTGTTCTCTCCCCTGAAATGTACTTCCTCCCCGTAAGTACATGTTGTTCTCCCTGTAAGTACATGATGTTCTCCCAGTAAATACATATTGTTCTCCACGTAAGTACAAGTAATTTTACAAATTATATAGGGCGCTATATAAATGTTGTATATTATTATTATTATTATAAGTACATGTTGTTCTCCCAGTAAATATATATTGTTCTCCCCATAAATACACATTGTTCTCCCAGTAAATACATGTTGTTCTCCCCATAAATACACATTGTTCTCCCAGTAAATACATGTTATTCTCCCCATAAATACACATTGTTCTCCCCGTAAGTACATGTTGTTCTCCCCGTAAATATATATTGTTCTCCCCGTAAGTACATGTTGTTCTTCACGTAAGTACATGTTGCTCTCCCGAAGATTTTAAGACATTTGACCCCTGTGACCTTGAAAGTGGGTCAAGGTCATTCATTTGAACAAACTTGGTAGCCCTTCATTCCAGCATGCTACTGGCCATTTATCATCACCCTAGGCCTTTTGGTTATTGAGAAGAAGTTGTTTAAAGTAAAATATTGACGCCGGACGGACGCCGGACCAGGTGAGCTAAAAACTAGTATAATATGAAGCAAAATAAGAATTTAGGGAAGATTAAGACAGAGACCCTTGAAAATATACAAGGCCAAGACTGGTATGATATCTAGCTTACATTTGTGCAACATGACATGTATATATGACAGAATGACATAGTAGAATTGGTGGACAATCCGTTATATAATTAAGAACATGAAACATTGGAGAAATTGATGGAATTGATGTAAGAGAATGCCATTGAATTGATATCAGATGAAAGTGAACGAATGAAAGACAGACTGTTGAGGACAAGGTGTTATTGTGAGAGAATGTAGGAATGGTGGTGTTGATGATGAAAGGACAGGAAGCAAACTTTAGAGTTAAAGTGAAAAGAGCAAGGGAGATTTTCATTAGACATAATTGCTAGTACAGACTGAAGCATGGGAACCTTCATGGGCAAGTGGACATTTGACCACCTGATGGCTGTCCATCTCATGAGGATAGAAATGTTAGTTATAATTGATTTTCATGTTAGATACTTTCTTAGTTTTTATTTGGAATAGATATATAGAGAGATGTTAGTTAGATAGAGACTGATACTGAGATAGTGAGTTAGAAAGAGAACACCCTGAGAGAGATGAGTCAGAGAGAACACCCTGAGAGAGATGAGTCAGAGAGAACACAGTCAAAGAGTGGAGAGTCAGTGAGTTGACACTAAGAGAGAACACCCAGAGAGAGATGAGTAAGAGATAACAGACTGAGAGAGATGAGTCAGAGAGAACACAGTCAAAGAGAGATGAGTCAGAGATACCAGACTGAGAGAGATGAGTAAGAGATAACAGACTGAGACAGATGAGTCAGAGAGAACACACTCAAAGAGTGGAGAGTCTGTGAGTTGACACTCAGAGAGAACACCCCGAGAGATATGAGTCAGAGAGAACACCCTGAGAGAGATGAGCCAGAGAGAACACCCTGAAAGAGATGAGTCAGAGAGAACAAAGTCAAAGAGTGGAGAGACAGTGAGATGACACTCAGAGAGAACACCCTGAGAGAGATGAGCCAGAGAGAACACCCTGAGAGATATGAGTCAGAGAGAACACCGTCAAAGAGAGATGAGTCAGAGAGAACCCAGTCAAAGAGTGGAGAGTCAGTGAGTTGACACTCAGAGAGAACACCCCGAGAGAGATGAGTCAGAGATAACAGACTGAGAGAGATGAGTCAGAGAGAACACAGTCAAGGAGTGGAGAGTCAGTGAGTTGACACTCAGAGAGAGCAGACTGAGAGAGATGAGTCAGAGAGAACACAGTCAAAGAGTGGATAGTCAGTGAGTTGACACTCAGAGAGAACACCCCGAGAGATATGAGTCAGAGATAACAGACTGAGAGAGATGAGTCAGAGACAACACAGTCAAAGAGTGGAGAGTCAGTGAGTTGACCCTCAGAGAGAACAGACTGAGAGAGATGAGTCATAGAGAACACAATCAAAGAGTGGAGAGTCAATGAGTTGACACTCAGAGAGAACAGACTGGGAGAGATGAGTCAGAGAGAACACAGTCAAAGAGTGGAGAGTCAGCGAGTTGACACTCAGAGAGAACAGACTGAGAGAGATGAGTCAGAGAAACCTCAGTCAAAGAGTGGAGAGTCAGTGAGTTGACACTCGGAGAGAACACCCCGAGAGAGATGAGTCAGAGATAACAGACTGAGAGAGATGAGTCAGAGACAACACAGTCAAAGAGTGGAGAGTCAGTGAGTTGACACTCAGAGAGAGCAGACTGAGAGAGATGAGTCAGAGAGAACACAGTCAAAGAGGGGAGAGTCAGTGAGTTGACACTCAGAGAGAACACCCCGAGAGATATGAGTCAGAGATAACAGACTGAGAGAGATGAGTCAGAGACAACACAGTCAAAGAGTGGAGAGTCAGTGAGTTGACCCTCAGAGAGAACAGACTGAGAGAGATGAGTCATAGAGAACACAATCAAAGAGTGGAGAGTCAATGAGTTGACACTCAGAGAGAACAGACTGGGAGAGATGAGTCAGAGAGAACACAGTCAAAGAGTAGAGAGTCAGTGAGTTGACACTCAGAGAGAACACCCTGAGAGAGATGAGTCAGAGAGAACACCCTGAGAGAGATGAGTCAGAGAGAACACAGTCAAAGAGGGGAGAGTCAGTGAGTTGACACTCAGAGAGAACAGACTGAGAGAGATGAGACCGGAGAGATTAAATTAAAGAAACATGGAAATAGAAATAACGAGCTGGAAGTTAAGAATAAACATTGAACTGGAATTGGAATTGAGCTAATTTATTATTCCCCAGACCGTGCTAGGCGGCCAGTCACAAATACATGTATATTATGATCTTCAGACAACATGCTTCACAAAATGAACAGGATATATATCTAGAATGGTGCCCCCCCCCCCCCCCCCCACACACACACACACCCACACACACACTCCTGACAAAAAAAAATCTGAATATGTGAAAACAGATTCTTGCTTGTTAAATTCATCATTGAATTAACCATGTTTGGTATTAAACTTTGATTTCCTCACCTTGAGCAGGATGGATGACCTCAACCCACAGATACATCGGACATTCGGAAAAACATTACAGATTGCCAAACAACAACTAGCTGATCAGCATATCAGATTAAACCTATCTGCAATAAGGAAGGAGTTTGAAATGAAAGATAAGCCCTTTAGAGGTCGTCTCTCTGAGTCTGAGGTACAGAGACAGTGAGGGTACATAGGGGTAGTTAATTCTTGTTATGATGCACCAAGGAGGTAAATAATATTGTAATGATGGTACAAAGGGGTATGAATATTTGTTATGATGTTCATGGGGTAGTTTATTTTTGATATGATGGTACATAGGGGTAGTAAATATTGTTATGATGCTCATGTGGGTAGTTAATATTGTTATGATGGTACAAAGGGGTATGAATATTTGTTATGTTCATGGGGTAGTTAATATTTGTGATGATGTTCATGGGGGTATTAGTGTTTGTTATGATGTTCATGGTGCAGTTAATATGTCCATGGGGTAGTTAATATTTGTTATGATGTTCATGGGGGGATTAATATTTGTAATGATGTTCATGGGGGTATCAATATTTGTTATGATATTCATGGGGGTATCAATATTTGTTACAATGTTCATGGGGGGATTAATATTTGTTATGATGTTCATGGGGTAGTTAATATTTGTTATGATGTTCATTGATGTATTAATGTTTGTTATGATGTTCATGGGGTAAACAATATTTGTTATGATGTTCATGGGGGGATTAATATTTGTTATGATGTTCATGGGGGTATCAATATTTGTTATGATGTTCATGGGGGGATTAATATTTGTTACGATGTCCATGGGGGTAACAATATTTGTTATGATGTTCATGGGGGTATTAATATTTGTTACAATGTTCATGGGGGGATAGATATTTGTTATGATGTTCATGGGGGAATTTATATTTGTTATGATGTTCATAGGAGTAATAATATTTGTTATAATGTTCATGGGGAGATTAATATTTGTTACAATGTTCATGGTGGGATTAATATTTGTTACGATGTCCATGGGGGTAACAATATTTGTTATGATGTTAAACGTTCATGGGGGGATTAATATTTATTACGATGTCCATAGGAGTAATAATATTTGTTATGATAGTACATAGGAGTAATAATATTTGTTATGATGTTCATAGGAGTAATAATATTTGTTATGATGTTCATAGGAGTAATAATATTTGTTATGATGTTCATAGGAGTAATAATATTTGTTATAATGTTCAAGGGAGTAATAATATTTGTTATGATGGTACATAGATAGTTTATTAAGGGAAACTATGATACACATATTTGTATCAAAATCATTAACTCATTCACCCAATTCAAAGGTTGGAATAATTCATTATCAAATTGAGGGGTTGCGGTAAGTAACCCGACTTAGAGTGGGATCTACTGTACTCTTGTGTTAATTGAGCCACTTGTAAACTAGACTTATATCTTGTTGACAGATCTTTGATGTGATATACAAATACAATGTAACACTGCCGAAGGATGTATTTAGAGACCTTCTCAACATGAAAGGACGCCGGCCAGTTGATGGACAGTATGAGTAAGTAATGCAGCCATACTTTATACAATCTTCTTGGATAGAAACCCTTACTGGTTCATATGACATTTTATTGGTGATATGTATATAAGTCTAATAACAGATTCAACAGCAACAAATAAATAAATAGGACTACTTTTGAAAAACAGGAAAACATCTCCAAATTTATAACCGAACCCTGCCTGCTGCCATTTTGCCCCTTTGTGTGTAACTTGGACTTATCATCACAGAGATAGTGTAAAGTTGATAAAGTTATAGAGAACACTAGCGTTAGGTTGAAAGTACCCTAGGTTTTGTAGAGTTAGATATTACAGAGTGTTGCATTTTGTGAACCATACCTAAACAATGAAACAGTATTGAATTATTCACAAAAGTTCTCCTGACATATATTTGTGCTCTTCAAGCTCTGGCTGAAATACTTAACATTCCTCACTGTTTGTTATTTTGACAGCTGGCAGGCCTTCCTCAGTGTCCTTGAGATGATTCAGGCTGATGCCACTGGTTTGGAACTCCCACGCAGCAAGCGACCACTGGAGTATGCCAAGCCCACACTAGAGACGTACGAGTCCTGGCCTAGGAGCACTCCTCGCAGGGACAACCAACCCTACGACGGTTACCGACAGCAAACCGACCGGCAAACTGAGGATAACTGGCAACGTGATGGCTACCAACCCTCATTCAGCAATGGAGACACATATAATCAGGTGTATAATGGAAACACATCTCACAGACGGGAACCATCGCCGAGCCGCGCTCAACAGATGACGTATAGAAATGATGACGTAAGAACGATCCCCTTTCTCCATGTTTATTATTGCACAATCCAACACTGCTTTTCCTTTTCCATCACATTCTGCACCTGTTCGTTTGAAATATTCTTTCATTCTGTTACCTCATTCATCGCAAAGACCCCCTTCACTAAGATACAGAGACATCAGTAATCAGACCCACAGTAACATCATAACAGACCCATTTCACTGGAATACAAGAGAAGATCATAAAAGGACCATTACAATAACTTTTCATTAAGCAGATCCCTCGTCTGGGGCATCACAATTGTTAGATGAGAAATAATGGCTCCGTTCTGGTGGTTTGATCAGTTTATTCTTCAGAATATTTTTCAGTCTTGCAGAACTTTCTGTAAGTCAACTGAAATTAATATGTGGCAGAACATAACAGAACTTAAAATGTGGCAGAACATAACATGTGGCAGTAACATGTGGCAGAACGTAGCTAACAGTTACAGTCCAGTGGTCTTATCAGTTTTCTTCCAGAATGCTTTGGCACATCATTTCTAGATCTAAAGGACTCGCACATATTAATCATTTACTTTATGTTATTACTAAGCTTTTGAGTTAATATCTTTGATATTTGAAGTTCAACACTAGTGATAACTGTCTAGATTTATAGATACATACCTGACAAAGGCTCAAAAAGGTATTTTTGGCGGGTTTATAAGAGCATTACAGGCGTCTGCTTTTGACAACTGGAAGTTTACAGGCCAAAATGGGACAGGTACCCCCGTGATTTTTCACCCCAAATCAATCCACCATCACATATTAAAATTTACTAAAACTATACGAAGTTCTAAAGTTAAATATCTATAGAATTCATTCAATGTGAAATATGTCAACAATTACCCATTTAAATTACTCAGAGTCAGTGTATTTGATTGGAACAAATTTTAGGTAGGGATTACAATCGTATGAAACACTTGCTGATAGGCTGATTTAGTGGTGTGAGTCCTGTAGGCCTGTTGATGGAGCACTATCATTCAGAATAATATGTTTACATGTGGCTAAATTGTTTCAACCTCTTAACTAAACAAGAGGCCCATGGGCCTTAACGGTCACCTGATAAATTTATACAGAGAGTTGATTTCGTTTTTAACATGAACAGAAATATTATTCAAAGTGACAAAAAACAATAAAACCACCTTATTCAATATCAAGCATACAGATTTCAGACTAAAAAGGATTTGAAACTAGCACCTCTGATTCTTAACAAGGAAAATGAAGAAATTTTAGCACACTGACTCCCTTGAGCCCCACCCTACAGCCCTTGGGGGTAGGGCTGGCTCAAAATTTTCAAAGTATCAAACTGTCAACTCAAGGTTATAATTCCAATCAAGTTATTAACATGTAATA